TGCGCACTGACTCTGGGGACAGGGCTTGTGGATCTCATTCTGGTCATACCAGAACCCTCTGGTACCCAAGATCCCACAGTGAGGCCCTGTGATGAGTCTGACCCAAGTCGCCTCTCCGCCTCTCAGGGCAGGCATGCCTCGGGGTGTTTGTTCTCCTCATCTGTGGCCCCATTTTGATACATCTTCCCACAGACCCAGGAGCTCACCGCTCACAAAGTTTTTGGTCAAATGTCTCCTTGGTTGGAAGATCTAATTTGTACTTCCCGTTTTATTATTTTTTTATTTAGAGTCAGGGTCTCAGTCCGTAGCAATGTCACACCTCTCGTTCGTTCTGAGGCATGTTATCTATCCCCTTGATCCACAGAGCTGTGCTCGGGCTGGAGACAGCTGTTCCCTCAGTCAGAAAATGCTAGAAGTGGGCTCCCAGCTCAGAGCCACATTCCCTTCCACACCCAGGATCAACCCTTCAACACCCACTCTGTGTTCGAATACCGTAATGTGCCCCGGGTACACAAAGATGGTACCAGCGGCTGTCTCGCCTGTTTACCTCAACCATGCAGACCTGGCTGTCTCAGGAAGACAGCTGGCCATGGACGCTAACTCCTCTCAGACAAGCCAAGCATGGTGGCATATGCCTGTAATCCCAGCATTTGGGAGATAGATCAGTTCAAGACCAGCCTCAGTTATATATCAAGTCGCAGGCCAGCCTGGGCCACGTAGACCCTGTCTTATAAAAACCAAGCAACAAAATCACAGAAATGTCCTTCTCCAAATAGACATGGCCATGTACAGTCCCACCAAAGCAGTACACTTTCCCCACTGGCACCCACATCCCCAGAAAGGCACTATAGTCCGTCCTGCACCCCCCATCCCACCTACCAGTTTCCCACTCCTGCAAAGACGGGCGTCTGAGGGTTGGGGTGACTGACTCCATGGGGGCCTTTGGGGGCTGACACTTTCTTGCCCTGCCTGGCCTCCTCCTACACTCAGCTGTCTGCAGCCCTGATGTTTGACGCTGTGCATGTGGTGGTTAGCGCTGTTCCAGCGCTGAACCGAAGCCAGGAGATTGGCGTCAAGCCACTGGCCTGTACTTCGGCCAACATTTGGCCCCATGGGACCAGCCTTATGAACTACCTACGCATGGTGAGCCAGCTGCAAGGGGGTGTGGAGGAGGTGGGGAGCAGCAGCCGCCTCAGGCAGGGGCGGGGACTGGGGCCACCCTGCCCACCCCTGCCTACCCTCTGCCTTTTTCCCATCCTGACTCTCCACTACCTGGGCCTCCTCCTCATTTCTGTGTCCTGTCTGTCCTTGCCACCGTCCCTGTCGGGGCGATGTGCTCTTTGGGTCTTGTCCTCTGCATTTGTTCTCTTGTGTACGTATTATCCTCTCTTGGACCCTGCCCCGCCTGCTCCTTTCACTTGTCTCTGTGCCTTTCGGCCTCTCTCTGGGTCCTGCCTCCCCTCCCTCTGCCCCGCCTCCCGCCCTGCTAGGTAGAGTATGATGGGCTGACTGGACGGGTTGAGTTCAACAGCAAAGGGCAGAGGACCAACTACACACTGCGTGTCCTGGAGAAGTCCCGCCAGGGCCACCGTGAGGTGAGCAGGCCCCCGGGGTGACACCAGAGCCCTGCTGGGATATGGCCCTTAAGGCTTCCAAGAATATGAACAGGGTTTATTTATGCTGAGGATGTCTGTCTCCTCTGTCCCCAGATAGGGGTGTGGTACTCCAACAGGACCCTGGCCATGAACGCCACTACCCTGGACATCAACCTGTCACAGACTCTAGCCAACAAGACACTGGTGGTCACGACTATCCTGGTGAGTGACCCAAATGGGCCAGGGGGCAGGAGGTGGAGGAGCCCTAGGGTGGCTCTTCCCTGAACATCTTTGAAGTCTATCGTAAGCCCTCAGGATGGGGAGTCCGTCAGATGGCACAGGGCAGTGCCCGGTGTAACTGGGAGTGTGTCCCATGCACTCAGCAACCCCAGACGGTGACCAAGGTGTCTCCATTCCAACCACAGTGAGAGCTGGAGAGGGCACAGACTCCGCAGTGGGAACCAGGTTCTGTGACAGGTTCTTGATAATAGCCATGTTGTCACACCTGCCAATCTCACGTGCCAACAGACGCCAGCCAGCTTGTTTGGTGTCCACCTTGAAAATGTAGAAACCTAGGGTCAGAGAGGTGGCAGAGCCAAGGACTGGAAGCCTCGTCTCTAAGGCTGGCGTCCAAGTCATAAGTGCTGTGCTTTGAAACTCTAGTCCTTGACCCTGAGCCCCAAGCAAGGAGACCAGCCAGTGTCATGGGGATGTTAGTAAGACAAGATGTAGGCCTTATGTGTCAACAGTTGCTCTTGAGTGACTGGCATCTGTCTCAATTGGTAGAGTGCTTGCCTAGCCTGTACGAGGTCTTGGGTCTGGCCCCCTGCACCACAGGCCCCACACTCAGGAGGTGGAGACAGGAGGCTGAGGAATTTGGGGTCAGCCTGTCTCCAAAAAGGAAAAGGCTGTTGGGAACCACTGTGCACTCGACCTTTTCTAGGTATCAATATTGACCTCACAGTTGCTTCATGATGAAGTAGTTTTGTTTTCCTCCTGGGAACAGTAAGGAAAGTCCCTGTCTGGGCACGGCATCAGACTGAGCTTGGCCCTCTCTTCTGTATCCCACTGCCTCCTGCCAGCACTGTGTCGTGCAGGGGGTTACACACAGGGCCTGGTGGGTCTGGGGGCTGGACCAGCCAGGTGGCTTCACTCTTAGCACCAGCCAAGTCCACGCCTGCAGCTTGCCTTGTTCACACACGCTGAGCAGCACTGGGCTGGGCAGCTAATCACGGTGACACGGAAGTTCAGAGACAGTTCCCAGAGGGTGTTAGAAGCCCTTATTAGCAGCCAGTCCCCAGGGAACTTCTGACCTCAAGTGGACCTCAAATACCCCTGGAGAAGCGCCAATAAGCCACTTTTAGAGGGACAGATGGCTGGCAGACAGGAAACCAGACACCTCCTAATGGTCCCACTGAGGGGCCTTGAGGCCTGATTGGCCTGATTGGTGGGGGTTGAAAGAACCTAGGTGTGCACTGTGTTCCATCCCCTGATACGTCCTGGAATTGAAAGAGGTGAGGTCCTGGTGGGGAGCAGGGCTAGATGTCAGGAGGAGGATTTCAGGAGAGTCCCCAAGGACTGAGAACCAATGTTATTCTTTTTTTTAAAAAAAAGATTTATTATGTATACAGTGTTCTGCCTGCATATATCCCTGCACACCAGAAGAGGGCACTAGATCTCATTACAGATGGTTGTGAGCCACCATGTGGTTTCTGGGAACTCCGGACCTCTAGAAAAGCAGTCAGTGCTCTTAACCTCTGAGCCATCTCTCCAGCCCCCAATGTTATTCTTGATTTGTGAACTCCATTCTTTTTCTTAATTCCTTAAATAGTTGCTATAGCTGCTGTGCCCCTGGCCAGGCCCAAATCCTAGAGACACAGAAACGAGTTAACAGGTGCTCTCGAGGGGCATTGAGGGGGAGGTGATGCCAGCTGCCATTGGTGCCATTGGTGGAGGTGACACCAACACCTGGGCACTCATTCCAAACCAGGTCATGAGGGTTCCCAGAGATAAAGACAGACATAGGGGCTGGAGGAAGGGCTTCCGGGTGAGGCAGAGGAGTGCAGAGAGTCTGAGGACAGCAGGGCCATGCGGATGTGGGTCAGTGTAGACAAACATCCTCAGTGTGCGTAGCTGGACACATCCCATTGGTTCTTCAACATTTTCTCATTAATTTATTTATTTTTATTTTATGATTGAGACAGTGTCTCCTTATGTAGCCCTAGCTGCCCTGGAACTCTATGTAGACCAGACTGACCTCGAATTTCCGGAGGCCCACCTGCCTCTGCCTCCCGAGTGCTGGGATTAAAGACGTGCCGCCATGCCCAGCCGGATGCCTGACGCAGGCATCCGTAGTAAACATGGCTGTCAGCAGTCCTGTGGCTGAGCACACTGCCGAGCCTTCAACTTTCAGAGCCCTGAGCTCAGCACCTTCCTGGAAGTCACTTTCAGATGAGGCGGAGGCAGGGGCGGGCACGAGGACATGTTCAAGACTGCCTAGCCAGAAGGTGTCAGAGCCGATGTGACAGTGTGAAGTGACAGGACCCATGTGGGTGTCCTTGATGCCACATCACTGGCCTGGAGGTTCTTCCTGTCCTCAGGGTTGTGTTGTGGGCTTGACACTGCCATCTACACCCGGAGTGACCTGAGCAGCACTTCATCTATGCTGCTGTTCCTTTCCAGTGAGGGGAAAAAGGCCCCGAGAGATGGCTCAGTGGTCAAGAGCACTGATTGCTCTTGCAAGGATCCGGGTTCAGTTCCCAGCACTGTCTGTAACTCCAGCTCCCGGCGGTTCTGATGCCCTTTTCTGGCCTCCAAAGTACACAGACACACATGCAGGCAAGACACCCATACACATAAAATAATAAAATTTGAAAGTGAAGTGATAAACTAGGTAGGTGGTGCACGCCTTTAATCCCAGCGCTTGGGAGGCAGAGGGCAGGAGGATCTCTGAGTTCGAGGCCAGCCTGGTCTACAGAGTGAGTTCCAGCACAGCCAGGGCTACATAGAGAAACCCTATCTCAATAAAAACAAAACAAAGCAACAACAAAAGGTGAGAGGATAAAGTACTGCTAACAGAGAACAGGGCTTGGGTTAGGTCAGGATCCTATAAACCGCACCCCCAGAATTCATGCAAATGAATTTGAGTCCTGGCTTACTAACAACCAAACAGCTTGTCAGGAATGGTCTACAACTTTCCCTAATTTATTTAAATTTGTTTTTTACTTACAAGAGATCTTCTGTCCCTATCCTGTCTCCTGCTGGGGAGCAAACTCAAGGGTACCTCATTGGGGGATTCTAGGCAGGGGGTCTACCACTGAGCCACGCCCCCAGCCCCTCACTGGGGGATTCTAGGCAGGGGCTCTACCACTGAGGCATACTTCAAGAGGATTTTGGATCAGTGTAACATACACATAGATATACTTGTGGCTTGCACAAATTATAAACCTTTTATCTCTGAGTTTTCACAAACTAAACACGCTGACTTGACTAGCTCCCTATCCTGAAACTGTGCCACATCTACTCACCAACCTGCCCACTTTAGTACATATAAACGTGATTATATCGTGTGTTGTCACTCCTGATGCCTTTTGTCCTGGTCACATGGGGTTTAGTCTCATGACAGTTTGCATTATCCACCAAACGTAGATGGGTATTGCTCTTGTTGTTGCTATTGTGAGTCATTGCACCGTGAACGCTGTTTTGCATGACTTTCATAACTGTGTTTTGACGACGCTTCTATGGGTGTGTTCCGAGGAGTGGGGCCGCTGGGTCGCCCTGTGTCTGAAAAGCGTTTGCCAACGTGGCTGCCCCACTCCCCTTCTCCCCACAGTGTGGTGACTCAGCGTTCCTTCACTCTCCACTTTCCCTGGGGATGGTACATAAAGGTACCGCTGTCCGTGACGACAACGGTGACAACGGGGTTCCCTTTGTGTCTGGCCACCTCTGTGTGTCTGCTTGGCCTTTTGAAAAATCCTCTTTTGGGGGTGTTTTTGAGACGTTGGAGCTGTGGTCCCAGAATTGAGGGGTGGAAGCAGGATGATTTTGGGTTCCACGCCAGCCTGGGCCTCATAGAGAGACCCCATCTCAAAACAAAACAAGGACTGGGCGTGTGGCTCAGTGGTAGAGCACCTGCCTTGCCTGTGTAATGCCCTGGTCTCCATCTCACCACTGTCCCCAAGTGGCCAGGGGGGGGGGGGGGGGGGCTTTACCTTTTCATTAATTTTGGAATTACATGTCCTGTGCCTGGAACCATCACGGACATCTTCCCACCCTCTGTGAGTCACCTTGCCTCTTTTTTTAAAAAAGGATTTTTTTAAATTTTATGTGCGTGGGTGTTGTGTTTACATGTGTGTCTGTGTGAGGGTGTCAGGTCCCCTGGAACTGGAGTTATAGACAGTTGTGAGCTGACGTGTGGGTGCTGGGAATTGAACTCTGGTCCTTTGGAAGAACAGCCAGTGCTCTTATCACTGAGCCACCTCTCCAGGCCCTAAAATGATTTACTTATTATGTTTAAATTTCATTTTATTCTTGTTACTTTATGTGTGCCTTAGTTAGCTTTCTGTTGCTGTGATGAAACAGCTTGATCAAGAGCAACTTGGGGGAAAAAAGGGTTTAATCTTGTAGCTTGTTGTCCATCTTGCCTAGAATCGAGACAGGAACCTGGAGGCTGGGTCTGATGGAGGTCTTGGAGGATTGATACTTACTGGCTTGCTCTCCATGGCATATTTAGCATGTTTTCTTATAATGCCTGGGACCTCTAGGCCAGGGATGGCACCACCCGCAGTGAGCTGAGCCCTCCTACATCAATTGCTAACTAAGAAAATGCCCTACAGGCTTGCCTACAGCCCAATTTAATGGAGACATTCTTCCTTCCTTCCTTCCTTTCTTTTCTTTTTTCAAGACAGGGTCTCTCTACAGAGTCCTGGCTCTCCTGGCACTGGCTCTGTAGACCAGGCTGGCCTCAAACTCACAGAGATCTGCCTGCCTCTGCCTCCCAAGTGCTGGGATTAAAGGCATGGAGACATTTTCTCAATTGAGGCTCCCTCCTCTCAGATGACTCCAGCTTGTGTTAAATTGGCATAAAACCAGCCAGCACAATGCGTAAGAGTGTTTGCCCGAATGTGTGGCAGTGGACCGTGTCTGGTTCCTGAAGAGGCTAAAAGAGGGCATCATCAGAGCCTCTGAGACCAGAGTTACAGGCAGTTGTGAGCTGCTCTGTG